AGGGTATTGTTGCGGAGGGTATTGTTGCGGAGGATATGGCGAATAACCTGGAGGTAGGTTTTGGTAGCCATGGTAATTGGCGTTCTGCATCATTGGAGCACCGGCCTCATTCATGAGGTTGTTGCTTGCCTGTTGATGACTGTGGCTGTGAAAACTCGATAGATCGTTGCCGTGGGGGGCGGCCTGGGGGGTAGAGTTGGCTGCAGCCATATTGCTGCCGTATTGCATGGGATTAGAGAGATGGTGGCCCGTAGTGGCCGGGGTTGGGTAACTGCCATACGGATTTGCGGCAGACTGCTCTGGACCAAAATCATATGTAAAAGGATCCTCGTTGGGGATGGGCGGCTGGTCAGGATGGATCGGTTGATGGTTGGAGCTCGGGAGCCCGGTAAAAACATTGACGTTGCCTGCTCCCATGCCAGTGCCTGGTAGGGTCTGCGGGTCGCTGAGCTGGCTGCCATCTTCATCTTCCGAGTCTTCCAAGTCTTCCGAGTCTTCCGAGTAAGCATCGGAGGTTTCATCCTGCTGTTCCTCGATAGAATCATCGCCAAAAGGTAGATTAGCTAGGCCTTCTTCTAGGGCTTGCTCTAGGGTTTGCTCTTGGGCTTCCTGTAGGGCGTCGGCTGGGGCGTCGGCTGGAGCATCTTCGGGATCGTCTGCTGGAGCGTTGGCCGGATCATTGGCTGCTGCGTCGACCGGTGCGGGTTGGACTTGGTCCTTCTTGCGCGGTTTGTCCTGCTCAAAGATATCCTTGTGCAGCTTGGTCCGACCAAACTGTTTTCGTAGCTCCATCCACCTGTCTCCCTGCCCATTGAGCAAATCCTCTCTGCAGGTGAGTGTCTTGCCATTGATAGTGACGGGGGTGTCGAGGGCAGCGAAGATCTTCTGCTCGATGCTGGGGTCGACAGATATCACCGCTGCTAAAAGGTGGTCGCCTTGGGGCTTTTTGACCTCTGTATATTCACAGATGTAGTCCCTATTCTCGCACTCGACGCACTCAGCTAGAACACCGCTACAAGGCTCCACTGCATCGAGACACTCGAAGCAGTCTCGGCCATTCGGCGAGAGAGTGCAGTATAGAGAGTTTTCTATGCAGCGGACGCACCGCCATCCAGTGCATGGACGGTGTGCATAAGAACACGGGTAACATTGAGCACTTTTGCGAGTCTTGGTCTGCCAGCCGTGGGCCTCTCGGGGCTTGGTAGGTTTCTTCTTCTTCTGAGGGTGACTAATCTCGCCACTTAGATCCTCTGTGGCCTCCTGGGGGGCTTCGTTACGGCGCTTTGGCATGGCTGTAGGTGAGCGGCGGGCCTTGATGATATGCACACGCGGGGACTTTAGAGGATATCTAATATTGAAGATTAGTTAGAAGAAGCTCGTTACTATCACGACTTGGGATGGCTACCTTTTTTTGTTGGTGGTTTTGTAGTAGCTGGCAACGTTTGCGGAAAGATTGTGAGTTGTGTGGTTAAGAATTAGATTTAGTTGGACAAAACACTTTCAAGGAATATAATATGAATCAGAACTTCGAGTTCGAGGAACTATACTTTGGGAGAATTCGAATACGATAGATGTTGTGTGAGACAATTGGAAGGGGTGTAGCTGAGATATGAATTACATGATGATGTGGCTGCCTCAAAGGGGTATATCAACTACGACATCCCTATCTTATATATCATCAAGACGGCACGCATTTTGACAACAAGAGTCTCATTGGGGGTCTCCTATGCCTGTCCATCATTACCTTCGTCCTCTGCTCCATTGCCACTATACCCATGGGGATATCCTATGAATTACTCATATCGTTAAAAAATCTTATATTGTGCCTGTTAATCAAGAGAATTCCTAGCTCTGCGGTTATTTATGAACCCTTGGCTAGTAGCCATTTCTTGTAATAAAAAGGCCTTTCCGTTACCCAACAGAGTCATTACTATTGTCAAAGGCGGAGATGTCTCACAGGAATTCACAACTGCGTTCGTGATATGATACAGATTGAGCCTGCTTGATTTGGTCGTCGATCTCGGTAAGATATAGCACTGAAAATTAAAGAAGAAACCATTCTCACAAATGCACATTCCATTGGAGTAGCTCCTCTGTAGTTCCGTACTCGATCAAGACTTATTGAATCTAATGAAAGATGCGGTTGGGTGATTCATAGTGGACTCCAAGACAATAGCTGGGACGACAACGACAATGATAGTAACTGAATACTAATTGAAATGAGGAAGGGAATACTAAAAACGACAACGAGCTGGCGGAGTTAATCCCGTTTCGAAAATAAGTTTAGAATTGCGATTTCAATCTCTTTTCTTGGAAAAGCGAATATTTGAACTTCTCGATCTTTTCTTTCCAATAAAGACCGTCAGCAGGATCCAAGCAGCTCCATGTATTTGATGTGTCCACCTCAAATACAACTCACAGAAACTCGACCGGTAAGTTCAATTGCATTTAGGTTCATATTGGATGAGAAACCACCACCAGAGCTATTTGGTTTTAGAGAAATGTATTCACAGCACCCCTTTACTTCAGAGAGCCTGAGATGGTACGCATCGATGGATTTAACAACGACAGAATGGGAGAATGCCTAGTTGACAACATTGCTGGCGTCGAGCTTCTCAAATTCTGATGAATACTAATAGGTATCCAGCATTAGACAATATTCTTATCTGCCAAAATCACCTACCCTACTCTTCATATCCCGTGGCAAGCTATTAGGACTCGGAACTAGGAGACTCGAAAAACAACCAGAATTATCGACCAAAGACCAAGTCATTGACGTTATATCACCTTCACGATGCCTACTTATCCTGCACTCACGTCATAGAGATTCTATTAGTAGTAGGATGCAATTGGGGGTTCAAATGATTTAAGCTTAGCAGCTGGAGGCCTGACGGTGCTCATACAATATGTTTAGTCAGCAGTCCTACCTAGTAGTTATATTTATAATATCACTAGAAGGTCATAAGAAAGGTTGCCAAAAAGTACCTAGCTGTGGAATTAAGCTCTAATTCCGAACCCCCGGTGTGAGTAGGTATTGCCAGGGTTTCGATTAATTCAATCGGATTTATTCTAGACAGGGTCTTAGACACCATGGACGGCAGGCCTCCTATCTCGTAAGCTACAACGTTAATTATTGTCCGCAATGTAAAAAACAAGAACACCCCAGAAGGGAAAAATGTATGCCCATCAAAGCATCTATCCAGTACTTAAGTAGGTAGACAATCGCTAGTTATCTTGGTTATTCCGGATAAACAGGATGTCTTTCTATTTAAGCGACGCGGAGACTTAATCGGATCCTCGGCGGGATCTACAATCCGCGATTCTAAATAAACCGGAGGCCTGAGCATCGGTTACGATAGTTGCAGCATGATTGGACCCCTGCAAGAAGCCTCACACGGTGTACCTAGATGCAATGGCACAGCATCGCGCCGCTGTTTCATGCAGTTCAATAGCGTGCCTGGATACTTAGGTGGGCTTAAGTTCACATCCCAGCTACGGCCAAATGAGTATAAAGGAACAGTCTATGACCATAGTTGAGTCCTTCGCTGTTACTACCTAGTAGTAAACTCATCGACATATTTACACAGAACTGAGAAAGAAGCCATGGAGGGTCAGACCTTAAAATTCGACCCCGATTACGAGAAATGGCGCAAGCCATTTGGCGACAAGATGCGCGTGCCGGATTTCAAGACGACAGACGAATTCCGGAAATTCAGCCACGACTTCATGGAAGCCGCATTATCGCAGGTTCCGCCGGATCCCAGCGACGTCAGGACCAAATACCATTGCATTTCGCACGACGGCGCCGAAGTTGAGATCGAGCGATACGCCAGCGCGGAGCAGATGAAGCCCCAAGAGAACCTACAGCCGGCGGTGCTGTGGTTCCATGGGGGTGGTATGGTCATCGGAACCATTGAATTATTCTCGCCGACAATAGCCAAGCTAGCGGTCGACTCAGGTGTTCAGATCTTCGGCGTCGACTACCGACTTGCGCCAGAACACCCAGATCCGACACCAGTCGAGGACTGCTACGCCGCCCTCCAATGGCTATCGACGCATGGCGCGGAACTTGGCATCGACCCAGCCCGTCTCGCAGTTATGGGCGATAGCGCAGGTGGCGGACTTGCTGCAGGGACCGCGCTCCTCGCGCGGGATCGAGCGCTGGAACCCCCACTGAAGAAGCAAATTCTTGTGTATCCCATGCTAGACGACAGGTCTATTAATGCGCCATCTGCAGCCGCCCTCGATAAATTCGTATTCTTTCCCCTGCACATGAGCAGGCTCTGCTGGCAAAGCTATGTCGGGAAAGACAAGGCGGGGAGAGATGACGCGGATGTGAGCCCGTATGCAGCTCCAGGACGGGTGAGCAGCGTACACGGACTTCCGAGCACGTACATCGACGTCGGGGGATTGGATCTGTTTAGGGATGAATGCGCGATGTTTGCGGCAAGATTAGCGGCGGCGAATGTCGAAGTGGAATTCCATCTATTCCCGGGGTTGCCTCACGGGTTTGAGAGGTCGCCCAGGTCCTATGGCACCAAACATGCCTATGAAAGACGGATACAATGGGTGAAAGACTTATGAAAATGATGTTTAGACATGCCAATATTGTGTAAAATATCGGATATTGCGGACAATCACGTTAACCAATCAAATCCTATACACTGTCCACCTCCCATCGGGCACTATTGGATTATTCGAATATCCATCTAGAGTCTTAAGGATGATCCTCAAATTTCTTGGAAGCATCCATGGATGTCTCGGGACGCGACCTTATCCCACTCGCAACAACCTGGAGGCACCGGGAAAAGTGTTTCCCATAGTGAGTCAAAACGGCGTAGCCTTGAGAAGTCTAGTTAAACCAAGGCTGGCTAGGTAATTTACAACTTAGAACTAGGTCAAAACAGAATAGGGGTTATAAAAAATGAAAAAGCAAAACATGAAAAAAAGAAAAAATTAGTGATTGCATCCCTCAGTTAACTGAGGGGCATCGGGAATTGAGCCCGATGCGGGGGTCGAACCCGCAACCTTGAGATTAAGAGTCTCACGCTATTAGATCGCATGTTAGTATTTGTGATGAAGAAATCATAGGGATTAATTGGTTACTAACCTCTACCGATTGAGCTAACCGGGCTGAATCTTCGGTGGAAGTGAGGATAATTATCGAGCATTATAACGCAAGGTGTGCGAGGTGGGGTAAAGTTCGGCTAGAGGCCAATCATTTAGTCGAGAGCGAAAGACTTAAACTCCGAAGGCTATTGGTGGCTTCAGTGCCAAATGATAGGCTTAGGTAATAGTGAGAGGAAAATCAGCTGTGCGTAGTAGCATGCGTTGTATGTAAGAATATAGAAATGAGAGTGGAATTCAAGAGAAGGGGGAATATTAGTGAGAATCTATGGATAATCATAATGATGAAAGATGACATATGTGAATAGGAACGTATTATTGCGTAACACAATCTGATCGGGCGGTCTTCTTTCTCCAAATGAGAACTATGGAAGGAAACCACGATTTATTCATCGGATTTGACATAACTAAGATCCATGGATAACATGATATGCCTACCTTCATGATTGAGGAAAGGACGTTAAGTGGTATTTACCACAGTTGCAATGGTGTAGGCATATCACATTATGTACTAGAATCAACGAAATCTACCCCCTAAGTAATAGGCAATAAACCAACATCACTCAGGAACAACCTCCTTGCCTACCTCCCTCAACGCCTTAACCAAGCCCTCCACCGTACTCTTCAGCGTCGAGCAATTGACCACAACACGGAACAAGCTCCCCTTCTCCCCGGGCGCATAATCAACCATGAACCCCCTCGGCACAAGCCTCGCCACCATCTCCCTCGTCCTGCGCGTATTCTCCTCCACATCATCCAACAACACACCCCCCGGCGCGTAATAAAAGCACACCTGCAGACACGGCGGCGGGTTACTCGACAACAGCACAAAGTCCTTAGACTCCTGCACCAGCGTCGCGAGATGGCTCGCCGTAGCAAACGCCTTATCGACATGATCCTCGAACCCCCTATCCCCATAATAAACCCACGCGAGCGCCAAATTCAGCGCGTCGCCCCTGCGTCCGCACTGCAATCCCAAATCCGCCAAATCCCATACCTCCTGCTCCTCCTCATGCTTATCATGGAACAAGTACCCCGCGCGTAGCGTGTTCGCGCGCTGGAAGACCGCGACGTCGTTTGTTAGTAGGAACGAGCACGGGATAGGCACGTTCAGCATCTTGTGCGGGTTCACGGTAATCGAGTCCGCGAGGTGGGAGCCGGCGAGCTTGTGTTTTTGTGCGGAGGAGAAGATGGCGGGACCGCCCCAGGACCCGTCGATGTGCAGCCAGATCCCGAATTCGCGGGCCACCTGCGCGAGCTCCGTGAACGGGTCGTAGGAGCCCCAGACCGTGGTCCCGGCTGTTGCGTTCACGTACAAGGGGGTCTTGCCCTCGGCTTTGGCGGCGAGGATCGCGGCGCGGAGAGAGGAGGGGAGCATGGCGCCGCTGGAGTCTACGGCGACGGGAATTACAGCCGAGGAGCCGATGCCGCATATTGTGGCCGCTTTGGATACGGAGTAGTGCCCGTGCGCGCTGGTGAATAGCGCGAAGGAGTGGGATCCGTTGCCGTTGGTCTTTGTCTCGGGGAACAGCGTCGCACGCGCGATTACGAGTGACGTCATGTTTGATGCGCTACCTCCTGGACAGGTTATCCCGCCGGCACGGGGCCCTTTTAGCCCGAATAAGTTGGCGAGTTTGCGGGAGGTAGCTTTTTCGATAATCGTTAGGGCTGGGGAAGTTTTGTAGACATGGACCTGTGCATTGTGAGATTTGATGAAGGTTGGGAGTGCATGATAGGATAGACTTACGTTGGTGTTTAATGCTGTTAAGAGAAGGTCGGATGCTACTCCAACCTATGATGTCGTCTCAGTAAACTTCCTCAATATTGATATAAAAGGGATCAAGGTGAGTACTCACGGGGTTGAGAGCTGAGTATAACTTATCCATGAACCCCTGATCCCACGTATTTACGCTGTACCGTAGGATATCCTGGACAACATCTAGGAAGCCGTTTCTTCCAGTTCCATGTTCGGGTATCGAAAATTGTAGTTTCTTTACTAGATCCTCAGGGCTATGAAAATCTACGAGGGCATTTCGACGTGGTACTCCTTGACGATCAACGCCTATAGAACCAGTAGCTCGAGATGCGGCAGCAAGATCTGCATCTCTGATAAACCGTACGATGAGAAATTCCACTTCGCCAACAAGCTAGAAGTGTGTTAGATTTGTAATATTGGTTAAACTTATGTAGGAGAGAAGAATTTATGAATTTTATCGAGGTGCTGATATTGATTTAGGAGCTTGACTTACATCCTCTACGTCAAGTGCCCTATCCAACCAGGGCTCACCAGAATCCTCATCGTCGTAGACTTTAGTATCAGAAGACATCGTGAACCTTTAATTAGAATATAAAAAATGGTCCATTTTTTACCATCCACTTGAATGCTGCGACTTACGTATTTCTATATAGCAGAGCGTTTTCGGACTTCCCTTTCTGTTCAGAAGCTACCTGCGTAATTGCCGAGTCCCCACTGATTGGTTTTTTTTCTCGGATCACTATTTGACGTTGATCGCGTGCTTGACCAAATTCTAATGCAATGTCGGAATGGGGGAGCTAACAAAAAGAGCTAAGAAAATAAGCAGGGAGCTGGTGGGTAATAATAGGTAGATTGTTTTAAGTTGTTAGTCTTCTCTATAGGTATCGTTTATATCACCTAGATACCACCCAGGTAAGTAGGAAGATATTCTTTTCTTGCCCTCGACGATGACAAGCGACCGAATCAAATAGAACAATCACAAGCTGTGATGTGGTTAATATTCCACCAAATAGAAAAAAAAGCAACGAAAAACAAAACGAAAGTGAACTCCAGCAAATGCGTTTTTTTGTAGCCTATGAATCACATACCAATCTCATCCTAACCCGTACAAATGCCGTGATGATTCCCAAAAGGCGCCAACAACTAGGACGAAGTTCGCGCCGTATGATGGAACCCAACTGTACGCCCGAGGAAGAAAAAGGTATCATTCAATCCGTCCAACCGTTGCAATCGTGTTCTCGTAGCGCACCTAGTCGACTCGTTTTTTCGTCTCAGGCGGCTCCCCTCCGTTTTGGTCGTGCGCCTTTCCATTTCCGTTGGTAGCTCCTAGATCGCCTTCGTCCTCTCCCTCGTCGTCCCAGGCATCTACCGCGTTTTCATCCCAGTTGTCGACTTCCTCCTCTAATGTAGCGGCTCGCTCTGCTCCAACTGCTGTCGTAACGCCCTCCTCTTGAGCCCCGACTCCTTCACCGAGCTCGAGGTCCTCAACGTCTTCACCTGGGACGGCGTTATACTGGCGGCGTAGTCGCTTCCTCTCCAGCATCCGTAGATGGTACCAGGAACATAGCCCGAGGGCCAATACGCTGCCGACGACGTTGGCGACAATGTCGTAGGGGTCGAATTCTCGGCCGTTAGGCAGAAAGCCTTGAAGGAATTCGGAACCGACTCCCATGCATATTGTGCATACCACGGCGGTCAGGTTTAGGGTTCGACGACGGTTAGTGTCGATGATCCAGTAGAAGGCGGTTGTTAATAGGAAAAAGGTGACGAAGTGTAGGACCTTGTCGTTGACGATGGTGTTGAGTTGGAGGGACGAGAGCCCTGCGTAGCCTGCGAGAAGGCATAGCAGGAAAAAGATGCCTGAGGATGGATGGATTTGTTAGCCTAGGGATCTTCGGACCAGACATGCAAGAGGCAAGCTAATTCCAACGATCGTCATCGCACGTCTTAGGATCTTATCGAATGCTACCTATTAAGTAGAATATCCATGATCCATGGATGGTAGCAACAAAGAGCAAGAAGGCGGCGAAACTTACCTGCAAAGGGCAGACGAATGCGCATATTCGAGTTGGTGGGTATTTAGGCCGATACGATTTGCATTAACATGATTTCGATTGTTGTTCTCGCCGACTCTGTGTTTTTATACTGCACACATTCGAGAAATAGGTACCAAATAGAATTTTATTATGGGAGAGAGTTACGTAGAGGAAGGGACAAGATGTGTGAAGCTGCTTCCGAAACGACAAAACGAAGAAGCTGATGCCAGGGCTGCAAGGGTAAGCTTAAGGTTAGCTGCTTCCCTACGAAGGAATAGTAGGGACTTGGAGGTTCCACCTTTTTCTTTCTTTCGTCACTGCAGGGCTTCGTGCCAGCTGCCAGGCGCTGAAGCCCACGAGTACTTGTACCTAAGTACTTAAGCATGCACAAAAACTTCCCGAAGTCGCAGCCGCGGCTGTAAGTCGAATTACGTAAGCTGCCTTCAAAGAAACTTTTGAAGGATTTCAGCGCACTATTCCCCTTTGATTTTAGGTTACATCATTACGTAAGAAATGCATAATCTTGAATACATGTACTGAAGTACTGACGTACTTGGTACAACATTTTCCGCAGCTGCTCGCCTTGCCCAATTAGGCACGCCTGGGGTTAGATCCACTAGCCACCAGTTATCGTACTTTATCAGATTCAGGCACTCTCCACAGTTGTGACGTCGGATTTGGGAACCTGCAGGTCTAGCTGAATCGATATCACATTTCGAATGAGGCTGAAATTCTGAAACCTGTGTAAAATTATATCTGTCTTCTATCATATTTCGTGTGATGCTTAACGATAGACCAAGGCTCTCTTTCGCAAAATTGTTGAAAGGCATCTGACATTGTGGCTGTGCGCTCAAGATTGGTGCGGTTGCAAACTTGACAAAAGCACGTGACTTGCAAGATATTGTGATTTTTTGATCATTCGATTCTGGAAGCACGCTGTTTGCGGGGACTCGTAGCGTACTTATGTACCTTGGTATTTTTTGATATTATTCAGGTACGGAGCCGCCAAAATTTCAATATGGGGATGCACTCTGGTGAAGACCTCAAAACGATGAAATAAACTCGTAAATCGTATAAAGGAACAATAATAAAAGCGATAAAGGAAGGATATCAGTATTAACTTGATACTTCGGCGTTTTAAAGCAGAATCAAGTATATCCGGCTTTGTACTTTGTTTCTTTTGCTTCGGCACTCGTACCTTACAAATTTAAATAC